CATCTCCAATGTAAGAACTGTTACATGAACAGTTAAAGGATCCCACTGTGTTTGTACATGAAGCACGTGAACTGTGACAGTCATCAATACCGCTAGCACACTCGTCAATATCTGGAAATAAACAAAATAACAATAAGTATAAGTATAATTTTCTTAGCGAAGAGGTAGCAGGAGACAAGGAAAACGGACTGAAATAACATAAGCTTGATCAAAAACAGGTTTCAACAATCGTTGCACTTACTGGACAATAACCATTGCACTCACATTTTTTGAGTTTGTACTGTCTTGACAAGTTTTAATTTCATGGAAAAGGAACGTCCAGTGAGTGGGGAGTAGGTGGGGGCCTTACTCCTAACGTTCATAAAGTACGTTGTAAAGGCCCGTTTACACCGGCAAATTTCCGTGCGGTTTGATCTGTGTTTTTAGGCCCGTGTAAGCTATTAGTTGAGGCGACAAGTGTTTTCATCACATACATGTGCCTAATAGAAACCGCTGCATGAACCCGATATATCATCGAACATGCGATCTCAGGACCTCATAGAGGCTGATGAATTGTTGTAAACTGATGAGCAAAGGCTATTCAAAACCTGCTAGAACAGAAAGAAAAAAGAGAAACGCGAAATTCAGAGTGCGTCAAGAAATGCGGAAAACACATGAATCATGCATATTTTCAGTTTTTCGACGACAATAACATTTCATGTTTTTCTAAACTAAATCTATTTTTCCGTAGCATTTTTGCGCTTGACTAGAATGCAACTCCCCGATCTTGTGTGTGGTTAGCAGTTTAAGGGGTGTCCTGTAGACGATCTAGCCAGGACGTTTTGACCTTCCGAACATTCCTATGGTTACTAAAATGGCGCCCCCAAATATATTTTTTTGCAGGGCCTCGTTTCCATTGCGCACTCCAAGCCTTCAGTTGCAGCCAATCAATTCTGGTGGGTGCGTTACGCGCGTTTTTCCTTCGTTGCGTAGCGCTCTATTTTCAGGACTTTTCATCACAAAAACGTTTTCTTTGCGTTGTCGAGCTGTGAACGTCCTTAAGTAATTAAGGCAAAGAAATTCTATGGGAACCAATCAGAACTGAACCCTTTTTGGCGAAGACGAAGAGTTTCAAAGCAAGCGACAAGAAATTCCCTTGAATTGAGGCGATAAATACTTTTACTCTATGCAAAATGACTAAAAGGACAAAAGGACTAAATGAAAATGAAATAGTCACTTGATAAGCATGCGGTTTATTTCGAGGGATGACTTAATTAGGCCAGGCCATTATGTTAATATTTTAATCAAGTTTTGTCTAGTGATTGCGTCATCTGCTCAGCCATGCTCATGTCACTTAAATTTCCCTAATAAAACGTGTTCCTCGGCAGGCAGCTTGAAAATAAGTAATCATACAATTTTCCTGGATCTGCCCCTCGTAGAAGGATGACATTTAGCACACACGCATATTACCGAAAATAGAACCTGATCGGTGACGTGAAGGCTAAAACGATGTGTTACGTTTCATTTTCTGGGTTTCGCATTTTGCCTGTTTTGTGAGGAGTTTGAATAGCCTGAGAAAACAGCCGAAATTTAGCGAAGCCACCACTGTTTTCCACACGAAATGACGTCTGAGAAGCGAGCGCACAATTTCCATACCGATGACACGTCACTACCCAGATGTGAGTAGTGCTTCTGATTGGTTGAAGCAAATTTTCAGCCAAACAGATCTAAGTAGTGACGCGTCATTAGGACGGAGTTTCTGAGGTCGTTTCTCAGACATCATTTCCCGGGAAAACCAGTCGTAGCGTCTCGAAATGTCGGCTGTTTTCTTAGGCTAGCGTTTGAAAGGCTACTGCCAATTTTCGTGGACGCGTCAAGTGCATCGTGTTCATGTTTATTATTCTTTGCGAAGAGCTCTCCAAAGTTTCTCATATCCAACAAGAAGGAGTCGCGATAAAAGTACCTTGAATAATGCATTGATCCTGTCTCCACTATACTTTATCACAGAAAACACAAACTGCAAATTATGTTATCCAACCGGGTTTCAGTATCAACTAAAACTCTCCACGTCTCAAAGTTCACAATATGCTTCAGCTCCTTTACTATCCGCCTATTACCCATGTCGAAGGCACTCCCTAATCTATGATAATACTCCTAATCATAACAGTCCCATCTGCATAACCCCTTCCCCTCCCCTCCCCAATCAATCCAACAGCGATGGCAACCCCGTACGCGAAAGATTACCCCGTATGGGCTTCAATTCATGGGTTATTTTTATTTAATGATTGCATCAGCTGGCCGCCTGGCTACTATTGAATGGTTGTCTAATGGCTATACCAGGCAGCCGGTAAAAACTAAGGTAACTCCTATTTATTTATTTATTTATTTATTTATTTATTTACATTTGCCGCATAAAATAAATATTACAGAAAGATAATGAAAAAAAAATATATATATATATATATATATAATATATAGATTTAGCCAGGGCTAAAAGCGAAGCTCCCATTAATAAATTTATAATTTAAATCAAACAATAAACTTGTGATCCACAAATCAGTTAACTTGAGGGCACATTCATGTGACTTTTGAGGGAAAGGCTAAGTTATTTTAGAGTGAAACATCTTACATCGAATTTATAGCCTTATATGTACACCCAAAAAATAGCAAACATCTTCGATCACATTCAAGAGCCATAATGGCTGTTGATCACAGCTGTAGATAAGGCCTCGAAAAAAAATTCTAGGAAAGCAAATCAGGCTGAATTTTTTTGCGTTCGACAGGTTTACTTTACAAATTCTTGCCAACAAATCTGGGGGTGTGTAAACCAACCTTTTATACTTTTTATACATCACATCTGAGGTGAAACAGTACGTACAATTTATCATACAGACCTCGGACAGAATACGGTATTTCACAATTTTTCAACACAAATTGCACTCAGTCAATATTCAGGACGATCAATCGTGGGCTTTTAGCGAAACCGTTCAAAAAAATTTCCAAAATCACTCATTAGGCCGGCCGGTTCTCGTTTCTAGTCCGAGCTGTCAGTGTAATCGAGTGTTTGAATGAACTTTAAAAGAGTTACGTTTCAACATAATAACGAATTTATTATTATAATTTTTTGTTATTTAATGGTTTCAGTTATAACGATGTGTAATCTTATAAAGCGTTTGATACGCGCGACATTTTTTTAAAGTACTCCTGCAAGCGATGTTCATGAACGATGAAAACAAACGCCACGGAAGCGATTAAAATTGCAAGAGAGTACTAACAATCAACAAAAGAAAGATAATTCGGTGAAACATTTACAGAGACAACAATTTTCATTCACGAAGACAAGTATTAAAGTGTCTCTAAAAATCCTGAGTCTTAAAACTTAAAAGTTAATTATGTTTTACTGTAATTTCAGCCGGCCTCCCGGTGTTTGTTTTTTTCAAAGATGCCACTTCTCGAAGCAAGAAAATCGCTCAAAGTTTTCTTTCTACAGCCAAATTTATAGCTAAATATTCTTCGGAACATTTTCTTTCTATTTGCGGTGAGAAAATATATCTGAAGGCTTTTCACAGTTCTGTAAGCTTATATCAAACCTGATACTAGGTCAGATCATTGACTCAAATCTTACAAACGTGCATAAACTTGCTGCATAAACTGTGCTCGACTTCATGAAATTAGATATAACAAAAACAAACATCAAATACAATAATTACTCAGGCTTACCATTCGAGATTCAGTTCCTGAAAGATATCATGGAAGGCCACAGTAGCTTGAGACTTTTAAGCCCTCTTACGCATTAAGCAAGGTGGAAAACGAAAACGATGCAATCCGAAATCGGATTACCGAATTTTGACAAGCAACGCATTTCTCAACCAAAAACCCAATAAACAAACCAGCCATGAATAACAGGAGACTCTTGATAGCAGCTGTATTTCATTTTGTACATCCAGTGGAGAAGACAGTTAAATACATCACAAGTTGACACAAAACTCTGTCAGCTTCTGGTCTCAAAGTAAACAACTTTCATGATGCTGCATAAATTTTCCGCATGGACTCACCTGTCAATTTTTGACCAATCAGAGTATAAAAATTGGACGTAGAGCGTGACCAACGCGTGACCGTGGTAAGAAAAGTTCTTCCCCGCCTGTATTTAAAAAAAATGGTTGAATTTTCGCGTCCGAGGTCAGGTTGAAATCAAAATCTTAACAGTGCGGGGTCATAGTGACATAAACACAACATATTTCATATGAATCATTGGAAAAAATGAACTTGAGCCTACGATAATTTGAAACTGGTAATTTGTCCGCGGATAACTTCAAAAAAATACTCGACCTCGATGGGTGAACACTTGAGCCCGCTGTACGGTCAGGTGATACTGGTCAGCGGGTGCCCTCTTTTGACAGCTGTCAATTGATCACAACGTTTATGTGCAATTAGTTTTTCCTTGGGCTCCCAAACTAGCTAGAAAGTGCGAGAGTAGACATTGGTTTCCCTGTGGTGCGGACGGACGGTCGTACGGTCACGTGATTACCAAATTTTCTCGAATGGGTAGATTACCACATTTCCTTACTTATGGGGCTCCGCCCACGCGCGCGCTTCGCGCGCGGGTGGAGCTCCGCTATAATATAGTAATATAATGAATTAATATAGTAATATAATGAATTGAAGATTTCATATATATATATATATATATATATACATATATATATATATATATATATAATTACTAGGATTGCACAATTTATAGGGTAGGAAAAACTCCCAAAAAAAAAAAAACATAAGGGTTCAAAATTAAATGTAATGTTAAGTGACTTTACTATTGTAATAGATAGAGCGGCGAGGAAGCCCAATAGAAGCTAAATAGCTTGAAGAAAATTGGGCCTCTCATGCTTAATTATGATATAATGTCAGCTATATTTAACAAAATATATGTTTTTCCGTTATTGTTCGTTGTTGTTTGACCTACCAAAACCTTTTTCGTCTGTACGCGAGTGAACAGTTTACAGGAGTCCTTTAGAAAAAGATCAAAACGGCTTACCAGTGCATGTTCTTCCATCTCCTGAGTATCCTGTTTTACACCCGCATGTGTACGATCCAATAGTATTGTTACACACCGCATTGACGCCACAGCTATGGGCGTTAGTAGAACACTCGTCGATATCTGGGAAAAATGTAGTGAAGCTTGGCGTAAAGATAAGAAATTTTGCATCTGCCTGATGGTAGTTCAGCGTAACTTTGATCAATAAGTGAACAGTTTTTGCATTCATCTCCCGTATTCTTACCCCATCCCTCCCAAGCCCTGCATAATTCTTCACATCATACAAAAACAGAATCAAACAATTTTGTATTCATATTGAAGATATTTCAAAGCTTTAAATCATGCTTCTCTTCATGTACAGTTTCGTCTGCATAACATTTGCCTGTTCCTTGAAAACGTCAGAATTTAAGGGCATTTTTTTGTCCAGCCGGAAAATATCTATCTTCAAGAGCAGCTGTCATCGGTCGAGTGGTATGTTTGCTGTTTTTGCTTTGCTGTAAGGCAGAAGTTTGGCCTTTTTTTTCTTCGCCATTTTCTCCAGCATTACCAAGCCACGTCCACACAAATCCGAATTAATTTTTGAAACCGCCTACGTTTTTTGAGCATTATGATTGTTTTTTACACGAATCGGCCTTTCCTCTACACGAAACCCATGAATCCGCTCACCGAAGCCACATCTTTCTTAATCCGCGTTCCAGATAGGTTTAAGCCCTCGTCCATACGAATACGCTAAAAAATATGCGGACGCTTCCGCATTCCTGTAGCCGGCATCTCAATCGAGTCAAGACAAAGGCGCGACGGACTACCCTTGGGCCCCCGAGGATGCCTTACAAGTCTCATCTCTGAGAATAACTGCAAATATCTTCCAAATTTGGTTAACGGTTGCTGGTTTTGGAAAATTAGCTGGAGGATAGGCAATCAGAAAAACATTAGTATTTTGAATTATCTAACTGATAGTTTGCACCTGGTCGCTAAATAAGGTCAATGTATTCATTTTTTTCTTCGAAACAAAGCAGGTGACAGTGTTAAGGGTTTGTTTCACACCGCGCAGGAATTGCACCCTTCAGCCAGTTTTTTGACTTTCTTGCCTTCCCAGGCCCCGTCCACCCGAACTGAATACTTTTAAGAATATTCTTTTTAAAGCCGCTCAGAATGGTTTAAGACCCCGTTTGCACTAATCTGGGTAAAAAGATATGAAGTTTCAAAAGTGCATCGATTCGTGTGGACGTGGCCTCAGTTTACTTCTTATCTAACATACCATTGCAGGTTTTTCCATCTCCTGTGTACCCGGCATTACACGAGCATGTGTATGAACCCGCGTTATTCTGGCATACGGAATTGATGTCACATGAATAGGAACCAGTGGTGCATTCATCCAAGTCTAAAAGGGAAAAACACACAGTGAAGTGATTAAACGCTGTTTACTCTTATTCCTGTCTTAAAAGTTAAGAATTCCTTTCCTTTGTATAACTGTCAAGTCTTAGAGAAAATAACATGAGGGAAAAACGTGACTCGCAAAAAGGATCTTACAAAGCTTGGCCTGAGCTCAAGTTCGTTGAACATTTATAATTTAAAGTGTTTCTGGAAAATTCGGTTTCGTTTCGTTCCAGTGGAAAAGAAAATTGGGACCTCATTAACGTTTATCAGGACGGAATGTCCAAAAAGGAATTTCGTTTTCTATTTCCTTAAACCAAAGTGTTCATTCAAACTTATCTTTTATAACAATTTCTGGCTTTGTGGACTTTCTTTTTTTTTCGGTAAATGGGAATGATTTGTGCAAATGGTAAAAGAGAGTCTCCAACGGAATCTACCATTCTATATTATGGTGGTAAACTAGTGGTTAATGGTGGATAATGTTTTCAATACTAAAACCACAGTCTGATTGGTTTGAATAGGTCTCTATTTGTTTCTGCTAGGTCTTTCTTTAATGCAGTTAAATCATAGCCTTAGGGCAGTATCTGCTAGCTGGGGTTCATAAGACATAAATTATTAATGATCTTGCTATGCCTCGTACCTTTAAAACAAGTGTAGTTATAGCAGTTATGACAAGGCACATCATTCCAAGTGTAACCATGCTTGGCTCCAAGAGTGTGAACACAGTCTTCATTTCTCCAATCGTTCGGTTGCTGTGGGGCCCAGAACCTAAAACTACTTATTTCTTTGTTTGTCCACACAAAGGAGCCCTCCACACTTCGGTCATTGAGTCCAATCCAGGATCTCTCTCCGTTGTGACGGTGTTGAATATAGACGTTTACATTTTGGTTGGGAACTGTTACCAAACTGGAACTCATGGTAGAACAGTTTGATACAGCAGTGAGCCACGAGCCACAAGTGCGACTTGTAAAGTAACAGTACCCACTAAAATAGCTCCAACCTGGCTGGCAAATACCTAGGAAATAGATGAAACATTTGTGGGATTAAGATACCCAATTATCTCGGATAGTGAGTGTCTACCTTTAATCTGAGCTAGAGACACTTAAAAACTGCATGAAATCATGCTAACAGTATATACAGTGTACTAATTAATGCGCATCAAGTTAAAAAAGGTGTTTCTCAAAATCGATGACTACAGCAAGAAAGAAAACTTTGTCACACCGAGGCGTCTTGAAAGAAATCCACCCTTGCAATGTAATCTATGCTTTAATGGCGGCTGGGTTAAACCAGTTTGGGACCACTTAGGCACCGTCTTTCAGGTTAATATCATTGGTTAATATTAAGTAAGCTGTACCTATGTAAAATAGTTTCTAGTCTAGTAAAGATGTCGCCCTTTACCTGACAAGACAGTATATGATACGGAAAGAGGGTCGTACTTTGAGTCGTACAATTCCTTTGTACACACTCGAGCCCCTGTTGTATTGATGTACTAAAAATTAAAAAAAAAAAAAAAATAGAAAACACATGATATTTGCACATTTTTTAATTCACCGATCCTAAATTATAATGTCTTAGTCTCGTCAGAAAATAATCTGCTACTGACTTCTGTTGCTACCCTAAAATACAGTTTTATCTACTTCTAAAGTAATGCGTTTAGTCGTTACGTCATTGAAACTGCTTAAATTGCCCATAACCTAACATTTATCATCATCATCATCATTATTATTATCATTATTATTATTATTGTTATTATTATTATCATTACTATTATTATTATTAATATTATTATTTGAAAGTACATATTACTGCGAGTTAAAACTTTAAAGTTGCTGCCATTTTGGCACTCCATTAGTCTTAGTCTTCTCACTGCAGCCCCCTGGAAACAAAGGAGATGTGACGTAAACTAATGAACTATGACGTAAATTAAGGAAAACCTAACTTTAGATGCAAGAAAACAAGTGTGGAGCCATGTTAGTTCAATTATTTTTTGAGCACAAGTCTTTTTATTACTGAATCTGACAGAACCACTTCCTACACATTATAACCGTTATTGGTCATGGAAGAAAGCTCAACAAGGATCACAAGCTCACGATACCGTTCCACACCTCCAAGTTTTAGCAGTCACTGACTCACCTCAACCCAAGCGGTTATGGAGTTGTGCATTGGATCCTGACCTCCCCCACTGGAGGTGTGATTCGCTGATACAAATACACTTGGGGCATGCTTGTACAATTTGGTAAAGGAAATATCCTAATAAAAGAACATATAATGAATTTCAAAATCGATGAAAAGAGCCGTCAAATTAACGTAAGGTGAAAACGTATCATAAAATAAAGCTAAGCAAGATATGATTTATACTGACCTTGCAGAATGCGTTATTGTTCCAGGCTGCAGGCTTCTGAGAGTTTGCAAAATAAACTGAGCTGTGTTCTGAGAACATGGGCTTGTCAAGTGACGAAAAAGCTAACCAGTTCTACGAAAACAGAAAAAAAAAAGAAAAGAAAGAGAAAATTCACTACATTATGTTGCTTTCCTGCACCGCTGGGAAATAACATAATTTGAAACAACTCAACGTACAACAAATGTAATACTGAGAAAAGGACGTAAAAAGGCAAAAAATGAAGTATACTACATACGACATAGATGTCCTCATGTGATCCCGCGTAATTTTGCAGTTCCCTTAAACATATTTTAAAGTAAGATCGCGTGATATCCTCCAACCAAATACTGGCGGCGTCTCTCTTCAGTCCGGCATGGTGATGGGCAACAGTCACAAAAACTGAAGGCTCCTTTGAAAACTAAACCCACACAGAAAAACATTATATGTATCAAATTTTCTAAGCACGCCATGTTGTGAATAAAACTTATTTTGGTTTAAATCTATAATATTTTAAATAAAAAAAACAACTTTAACAAACCAAGGTAATAATAAGTAAAGTAAAAGCAAATTTTAGACAAGTGGAAAAAAAATCGCTTACTGAAGGAAAACGCACTGTCTTGCATGTTGTTCCAGTCCACCACTGTGACATGCGCACCTCTCCAGTGACCCCACCTTCTGGGGCTCCCTGATAAGCTATCCAGTCTATGGACACATTAGCACGCGACCTGCGCTCGTTGAAACCAGCCGCCATCACGCACGCAGTGAATTGTTCGTAGGTCACATCTTCAATCCACGACACAGCAGCATCGTGGACGTAGTTCATGTCCCTTGTATCGATGTGATTGACAGTTACCTGCACTTGAACGGGTTTATCAGGGTAGAACACAAATGGTCGGAAACGAATTACTTCACAGTGAGAGTATCCCAAGGAAGGTATATGAGGCATGTGACGCCGGTCACGCTGAAATGGGAACCCTGGAAAGGAGTACAAAAACGCAAATGTAAAAAAAATCAAAAAACAAAAAACAAAAGACAAAAAACAAAAACGAATGAGAGAGTTCGAGTTATCATGAGGCGATTTGTCTCGAGCTCCTCTTTAGACAAGATTATATATTTTTTTAAGTCATAAACTATTCACCTTACTAAATGACCTCAGTTTTTCACATTTTGCGTTATTACTAAAACGACGCATTTTTTGCTTTAATTAAATCGTGTCACGGTGAAATTCCTCGTTTGTGCTTTTGCTATAGAAATATGTTCAGAGATCAGCTTCGCTTTAATAACCAGTTTATATCTTTAAAACGACTTTCAACTGGCCGGGTACTGATGATACAGGTTCAGAAGATGTGATATCGAATTTACGTTGTTATAGTGAAGACTTTTGGACGTTTCTTTTTTGGGGGGTTGTTAATTTGGGTGATTGAATTAAATAACAATTGATACCATAAGTTACGTCAGATCACTGATACCTTCACAGCTCCCAGGATGCTGCACAGTAAAGTTCAGCTGTAACAAACACATTTCTTGCTTAAAGAGACACTTGTTGTCATACGTCGTTCCGTTAGAAGAACAGATAGGCACTTTATAAGATGGGCAACTGTCTATGCACACACACCGGGCATCGTATGGTCCAAAAGCTTTGCATAGACCATGATAATCACAGTGTACGCCATCTATACAAGGATCCAGGTCTGTGTAAAACAAAAGATGCATAATTATCATTAATTTTGTGTGCATAATATATCTAACGGAAAGTGCTGATACCGAGATTTGGATTTGGTCTATAAGAGTATTAATCTAGAGTAGGGCTTGATTGTTGTTTTGTTGTAGTTGCTGTTTTTTTGCTTTTACTTTAATTTCAACGAAGTTTTACCGAACATGGCGAGGGAGAGAAAGAGAAAAACAGTGAGGTGAATGATCGATGCTATCATTCTTGTTATCGGGAATTCATGTTGAGCTGACGCTTATAAATTAAACACCAATCTTCTATCTAAAGGATCTGTTAGTGTTAACGAGACAAAGTGACAATATTAGTCTTAAAACTAGAGCCTAAATTAGCTAAGAAATAATTCAAGAGAAGTAGATTTTAAATTCTTCAAGTAAAAGGGGACAAGTGTATGGAACAAGTCCTACATGACTTATTGCGCTGAAACGGCATTACTTGACATCAAAGCAGGAGGTCGTATGATTATTTTTTTTTGCCGTGCACCATATGATCTTCTAAATCCTGATAATCTCCAAAAAACAATTAGCTGTTCTCTTTGAGTTTGTTTCATGAATGGTCGCAAAGTTATCACATTAGTGGTTAAGTTTTTTATTACATTAAAGGTTAGAATGTTACCACATTAGTGGTTAACTTTTTTAATTACATTAGCGGTTAGTAATACATTAGTGGCCGATTATTAGATTACTGGGTGATATACCTACCTCCAGTAATCAGATAATCGACTTTTATGGTATCCTTGCTCTTGGTTTCATAGACTCGAACACAAATCTCTGTTTTTGCGGTGGAAGTGTACTAAGGGTAGAAAATCGAGACTGCTAATAACATTATTACTCCAAAGCAGTGTTGAAAATTCTACTAAACAAACGATCAAAACGTAAAGGTGGTGAGAAACTTTGACGAAAACTGCACGGTTAACCACAGATATAAAAAGTTGTTTGAATGTTTAGGAATCAGTAAGAGGACTCGTAGCTGCTAAAAAAAAATTGATTTGGTTTGAACATTTTATTCATCCTCCAATTCCTTTGAACCGGTTATCACTGTCACTCCATCAAAAATGGAAATCGATTCTGTGTGATAAAGAAAGTCCAGAATCTGGGAAATGAAAGAAGATAAATAAATATATTCAAAAAACCTTTGCAAAGACTCAGGCCTTTGTGATATTTCCTGTTATGCGGAAATACTGATACAATTTTTTTCCCCAAATTTACAGAACTTAATGTTGTTGTTCCTCAGAGGGGCACCAATATAGCGGTCAGAAACCAACAAAAATGTCTGTGTTTGGGATGGCACAATCTCAAAAAAAGGAGACAATTTTCTAACCCAAATCACAGTTTTCTAGGCCCTTCCAGATCCTTCAAATGCCGCGTCACGTAAAAGGTTAAAAATTAACAGCGTAGTTTATCACTGTCAAAACTATAAAGAGCCCTTTCGAACAGACAGTTTGTAAAAATATGGGTTATGCTGCTCTATAACTGATGAATTTGTATTCATTTTGATGACGTCACGTGAAAACCACTAATAACAGATACTAGCGTGGCGTTAAACTTTGTGAAAAGATTTTCTAACACTTTCTGTCTTTCTTGTCAATCTGGGATTTCTTTTCTTTTATCACTGCATGGATTGATCATATTTATTAAGATTCAACGTTAAATTAATCTTTTGCTATCTGCAAGTTTGTAAAACAATTTTACCTCGACCCAAGCGGTGATTGCGTTACATCCAGACAAACGCGAATCGTTATTGATGCGTTTTGCCGTCACTATCACCACAGGAGGAGCATAGAATTCATCTGTAAAGTTGATATGCTGTCAAAGAAAGATATAGCTTGTTACAAACAACTTTTTTATTCAAGATAAATGGCAAAACATGAGAATTATAAATAAAATGAACAAAAGACTTAAACAAGCAAGTTTCGACTTGTTTCGCAGACTACTCCTGACCATGAATTAACACACAATGCAGAATATTTAGAACAACTTAAGGATTAGTTGTTTATTGGTTCTGTTAAAAAGGAACATCATCCTGTCTTCTAATTTTTTAATGGAAATAAATTTTAGTGCTCCGGCCATTTACCAACATAACAATTTACTTTCGTACCTGGCAAAAGGCGTGGTTAGCTTGCTGAGATAACAAGTTATAATTCGTAAATAGGAGGCTGTCAGTTAATGTGAAGTTTCCAATACTGAGGTTTGTATAAGCCATCCAGTTCTGTAGCAATGAAATAAAAAATCATATTTTAGAAATTTGAAGCCGTTTTTGCCATATGATGTTACTAAATCAGGTGTCTGCTATTAAGCTGAAGGGGGGGGGGAGTTAGAAGCACGCCCCCTATAACTCAAAAACCGCATATGATAATATAGCTAGACCAGATAATTTGGTCATAATAAAGTGCTCAACATATCTAACATCTTGAGATAAACTGACCGACAAAATTATGTAGTGTGACTTCAGCTTGAATATAATAGAAAACACTTAAATGGGAAGGTGTCTGATTAAATTGCGAAGTAGGCTAACACTGATTAATGCCCTTAACAACAGAAGTGACAGGATGATGAACAGGAGGAACTGGAACTTTCAATCGGGCATGCATCTGTAAGAAATGAGAGCATTTCAATCCAGTTTCGTCGATGGAGTGTTTGAATTCAACTCAACTATCGTGTCATTAAGGGAAGGCTGAAAACACTTGTCCCACTAAAGAATATTTCTAACAATTTCGTAGCGATAAGCCTTACCGATATTACAGAGTCTATCTTGTTGTCAATTCAAATAAAACTAACTGAACACTGTACCTGAATTCCAGATCTTAAATAGACACCCTTAGGATATTTGAAGAATACATTTTCACCGTTTAATTGACTTTGAACAAGTTAAATGTATTTGTTTTGCTTATTTGTGTGTAGAAGAATATTCTGAAAGCAAACTTATATGTGCCAGCAATAAAATTCAGAGGGAAATGAACATTCTTGGAAAATTATCTCAACACTTCTGTACATTAATTTTCTTCAAAAACCTTGATTGCATTTTTACAATTTTCTCTTTAACAATTTTTTTATCATTTACGCCAATCAGAAAATCTAGAAAAAAAGAAAGAAACGCATTAAAGGGAAAATTCCAAATTTTGCAAAATATGGCTGTCAACAATCGGTGGCAGCGGACACTTTGACATTGGGGACAAATGTTTCCAGACAAGTTTTAGGAAGATTGCTAAGCTTGGTACTCATTAAGCATGAGCCTTAAGTTTGGAGCCTGGCAAAAGCCCCTTATTCCCCGCGGTCTGCATAACACTAAAGTTTTACGGAAGAAGGAACCTGATTTCAATTCATTTAAACGAGTACTAAAATATAGCTCATTAAATGGTTTAATTACTTATACTAAGGTTCAAGCTAGAAAGCGTTCCAGCTGACTTCCAAAGCAGTAAATGGTAACAGAAATATGCTTGGGGAATGTATTTTTTTTCTTCAATGTTTTACCAAATTCGAAATTACATATTAAAAAGAACTGGACTTAAAATTTTGGCATATTTATTTATTGCTATAACTTAATACGTAAGAACTTTACAAATCTATGATAACTTCGACCATTTTTCTTGTGATTATGATAAACTTAAGAGCAAATAAGCGTCTTTGGGCAGCTCATTGCAGAAAAAATAATTGAATGGAAATCTTAAAAGATCTTTGAAAAGCAATTTAAAATTTCAAGCTCACAATAGCAATGCCTTTGTGAAGTCCGTCGAAAATCTTTACTTCCCTGAGGCAGATTTTGAAACTGTCTTCGGTCAACTCCTCCACCCAGACTGCCATGGCGTCTTGAGGTCTCTCAGGAAACTGGTGACTTGGAGTTGCAAGTAAAGTTGGAGAGGTCAAAAAACGCTTTAAATAAAAAAGAAAAAGAAAAAAAAAAGAAAAAGGATTAGTTAAAATTGAACAAGTAATAATATTACTATAACAATAATAATAATAATAATAATACTATACTATTATTATAGTGCTAAAAATAAGGAGAAAAATTTTGCTGAATTACAAATAAAAGAGCACTGAAAATTCTAGACAGAGGAAAGTGACCAAAAAAAAAAAATGAGAGCTAGAATGTATTTCCGTTTGGTACCGGCACGCACACCGCGTTTGAAGAACAACGTTATCAAATTCTTTAACAAAGGAAACGCCAAAGATAATAAATCATACACGGTGACTGACTGCCAAATCTCTTTGTTTTGCCAACTTAATATTTCTAAATTAAGTTCATTTTAACTGAAAATTTACAACAATTTAAACAATGCTTGATGCGTTCCGTGTTATTGTTTTATAAACTAATAGATTAGATAGCAATTGGAAACTAACTTTACCATTATAAAGGCCAATGTTTCATTGCTTATATTTAAGACTTGTTGTATGTGAATGCAAGTGTCAGTGTATGACGGATTATATGGGTAGGTATAAGTGTATTTCATGAAGAGCACATCACTCTTCGGAATAGTGGGGGTTGGTGTTGAAAGGTTGGCTGGTTAAGTTTAATACACCCTGGAATCCTACATAACCGTGCAAACGTCTTATGGTTGGAGGGGGCAGGGAAAGGTGTTACACGAGTTTTCGCTTTCTTTGTGGCTCGTATTGTCATTGCGAGAGTTCGTGAATTGGTAATTGCACGGATTAGTAGGTTATTCCACGCATAAAAAAAAAAAAAAAAAAAATCGATCAACTTAGAGCGTAGTGTCAACCAAAAGATTATTTGTGCTTAATATTTCTTTATTCAAATGCGTTGCAAATCGATCATTATGTGTCTGTTATATAATGTTAAAGAAGTTCTGTCGGATAGAAAAATGATTCTACAGAAGTGAACAACGTCCAGCGTTTGAACAAATAATTGCATGATGAAGGGTCAGGACAACGTTTTTCAACATCAAAGGAGGTATGCATTAACATGTTCTTTGCGTTTGAGCCAAAGAAAATGTTTGACAATAATATTATTTTAGAGTGTCATCTGTCAGGAATCCAAGAATGTCCTTTATTGCAAAACGAAATCGGATTTGGCTGTTCAACGGCAAGATGAAAGTTCCATTTGTGTGGCAAAGGCCGGGTGCGATTAGCAGGGAGCCACGCCAACAATCAACTTTTAATTGGCGAATCAAAACAACTTATCCTACCTTCTCCTGTAATACATTCAACTGCGCGTATGACTTAGCCGTAACACTGGGCGTCCCAAAAACAAACAATCAAAATACAGCAAAAGAAAAAGGGAGAAGGATGCATTAACAAACTGACCTTGTTCATTCAATGGTTTTATCATAGGAAAAACTCTCTTTTAGTATACATCTTTCTGAGAACTAGAAGAAATGATACATTTCCAGACTGTAATTAATAGAAATTTTCTCCAAATGAGTAGTAACCTTATGCATATCGTTATTTTGATCATCTTGCAAGACCACTTTGTCTGACCGTTCTGGATTCTTCCTTTTTGCAACCAATCACGTTACTTTGTACAGTGAACATATTCCTTTCAAAATTAAACTAACCTGAGGAAAGTAGACCTTCTTACATTCTGTCCCGGTAGTCCAAGAGCCCAAGGAAGTGGTTCCTAGTTGCGCCCCCGGAGGGGCAGATTGCAGGGCAATCCAGTTTATCTCAGCAGTTGTATTTGAGCCGTTGCTGTACTCGTAGATGCAAGCCCGGAATTGAGTTCTATCTACTGATTCCACCCAAATAGCAGCACCATTACCACGGGTTTGGCTGATCACTGAGTGTCCAGACGAAGCAAACACTTTCACTTGCTTTCCACCAGAGAAAGGTTTAGCGAATGTGATTTTCTCACACGCGAACAGCCCTGTGTTCTTGGTAGTTGTATTGATTTTTCCAGCTTTGAAAATGACTTCTATAAAAGAATAATAAATTTTTAAGCTAAAATAGCCCCCTGTTACCTCTGGGCTATTTTGTTTTGTAGTTTTATGAAAGGTTACACGCACTGAGCGTAGCTAGAGTCCTTAACGTTTGAGTATAAGGTCGTATTCAGGACCTTCCTATTTCCGTGCGTGCCCCACCTCCAATGCCTTCTACCTTACTCGAAATGAAACTTCCACATTATTTTGCTGAAGAAAATTGCCGACAACTATTAGCATGTTAGAGCTCATATTCTTAATAAACAAAAAATTATCCAATATACCTTGACTTCCTTCACTAAGAAGCACAGCAGTAAAAATTGCGTAGAGGACAAACGGAAGGTGTTGCTCTCCCACCATCTTGAATTAACTGAAGAAATGCCGCTCCCTCTTGTGCAAATAATATACACTTTGTCCTCACGTGAAGGCATCATTTCTGTTGCGTGGACAGTAAGGAGCAGTGAAGCACTAATTTACCTTAAATGGATATGATCTGCCGTGGTCCTAGCGTTGAGGTCGTGGAAAGGGGGGAAATCACCTACCGGCATAGACTTACCATATACTAGAGACTCTGGTCGAGTGGATTTATTCTATTTGGCTAAAATTATAATTACCGTTGCTGAGAGCAAGTAAAGCTTATATGTTAACACCCATGCGCTTCTTTATTTCACCCAATTGTCCCCCTCTGACTTTTTTGCCCTTTTGAAATAAAAAGGAATTCATGAGACGTTTAGTGGGTAAGTATCTTACTGTCAATTACATTAATTTATATTTTCCAGTCGCAGTAGTTGTTTACAGAAAAGCCAGTTGAAACTTAAAAACTTTACAAATGCTCATTCTGTTTCTTTACCTTTTCCTTTCCTTTGATAGAGAACTTTAACAGTCTATCATATATTTGGCTGACTTTTTCTATCAAATTCTCGTGATCAATTATTTTCATTGATTCAACCGAAATCATCGTTCGATAATTGAGCCGGGTTAAGTTCCACTCCTTGAAGTACCAGATCATGCAATGATCATCAAAATTATTTGTAGTTCTTTTACTTACACAAGCAAGTAGCAAACTGTCTACTCCTTAAAATTGAAATCCATTCGTATGCTCTCCATAAAATAATTCAAATCAGCCTTGTCAAATTATAGTGTGAGCGAAGTGAATAGAAGGAAAGGCTTTTCTTACTGTCTGGATATAATTGTTTTTTTCAAATCCTTTTGTTTTTTGGGTATAAGCTTAACAAGAAGGGATTGGCGGACAATTCATTTGTACAATTTATGTAGTTCAGAAATGAATCATTAAAGCTAAACGAGAAGGTTTTAAAAGAAGTTGTGCCCTCAAAAGTATTCTTTGATATTATTAAAATTATTTAAAAAAAATAAAAAAAAAAAACTAAATAACAAAATTAATTTTTTTAACTTCAAGGTCCATCCCTGTCGACAGTTTTGCACAAAATCATCTTAAGCCACAGCTTACCGAGTGTGGTGACGGCCATCTGTCCTGTTTGGGTACGAGTTCAGGTTTATATGGAGTTTCAGCTTTATAAACAACTGATCTCTCGGATGACAAACAGTCTCATTTACGAAACTTGAACAGAATTACATGTACATAGTTTGCGTGCAGTGCCTGTTGTACTTATCAGTTTGCACTACGTAACAGAGAAAATGACCTGCAAGTTAAGTATTGCTCGGCAAAATGACTCACCAGACAAGCCTTACTTCAAGTTCATACAGCTTCTGCACGAATAACGTAAAAGGTCTTCACTGAAACAAATTGCAAGGGTTCTTTTGTTGGTTCTTACAGTGATTCTAAGCTTTACAAAGAGAAGCAGCTAGATTCATAATGAAACAAACTAAAAATTGAGACAAACTGTTTTTATTGATCCATCATTTTAACAATGCCAAAAACTAATTAATTGTAAGATTGCAGCGACGGCTTAAGGGCAAGTTCAATAATGCCGATATGTCAACTTGTTACATAGTCAGTTCTATAAGCTATCGGAAAAGTGTTTCTGAACTATTGTCTAGTGTGAACTATTAAGCTAGGGAAGGACTTTAAACTTGGAACTTGTAAATATATATGGAAATTAAAAACTACTTTATTGCAGCTAGAGAGTAGTATGTTTGAATTTGTTTGTGCAATAATGGATTTTAATTAAGAAGGTACTTGGGATTCGGATTTAAAGGTTGTTGTTTTTTTTTTTTTTGGCGGATTTTGGCGAATTAGCCAGAAACGGGATGCGCGGATCACTTATTATGTTTGTATTTAAAACATGAATGGCGAGCTGACTTTTCTAGGCCTTCCAGACATTTTAAGCTTAACTACCAGGCTCTTCCAACGGCTTCCGATTGTCCGTATGTTATATCTCAGTTTTAAGAAAAGAAAGACTTCCTGCCACATCTTATTCGCTTTTCTCCCTCTCTACATATATATACTCATTAAGAGTCGGACATTCAAGGCCTGTTTCCCCAAGCACCCGTCATTTGGAATTCTCTAAGTAGTGCTACACGTTGACTCTCTCGCTAGGAATTTAAGCAAAAAATTCATAATTCACTTCTGAAAATCCTCGCCGCTGAGGATGATTATATGGATTCAGCAGCTCTTTTTCCAAGAACGCCCAGTCTTTAATCATGTCTTCCTATCGCAATTACTGTCTGTAATTCAGCTAGCTTTCAACAATAAGTGTGTGCTTCAACTAGTGAATTTTTCTTTTACTTTTTTCATTTAATTAATTTATCTATTTATGTGCTTTATAGAAACGTTGACATCTAACTGATTCTAGGCTTTCTGTAAATTGCTATCACTGCCCGCCGCAATGAATGATTATCCAGTAATCGGATACCCATGTTTTGCGCACAGGATTCTGGGATCGCCAGGGGGCAAACATTGTGAATCGCTACAAAGAAATGTATGGCGTGGAGTTGTTTCTCCGTTAAAAACAGTGTCTTCGGACATAGAATGCCGCATTTTGCCGTGATTTTTATGAGAAACGGAGGTCACTAATGTTGGTGCGTTGAAATTTCAAGTTTCTGTGTGATTAATGCGATAAATTCTATCGATAAACACTCCTTGCGTGAGGTTGAGTGTGAAATTTATGTTTACTGAATTTACACAGACATGAAGAATTCGAAGAAAAGGTCTCGAAATATATAGTGCAAATTTTGGTATACATGTAGGGGGATTGGTTCATGTAAGCGTTTAAGTTATAATTACGTGTGGTGATATTTACGACGAGTGTAACTACGCTCGGCCGCGATCACCGCTGTGCGGCGCTTTGCGGGTTATGACTAGACAACAATCGTAGGTATGTACGTGGCCATAAAAATAAAAAATCCTCCTTTACTTTGGTATAAACAAAGTGACATCTACAAAATATTTCATGGCAAGTACATGGTATTTAATCATTAGTAGATGAGGCAGAAATCGTAAGAACGAGTAAGATTTCCGATACAAAGGCGGTGAGTTTGAAAATAAATACCAAGTTGATGTGCGAAATTCAGAGATTCTGTATCTTCCCTCAAAATAATTGGAAAAGGCATTAGAACTCATCGGTGCTCTGGATCATGACAAAACAATTCGCTTGTGTTTTTTTGGCGAGAAGAAATCAATATACTAATGTGCGGAAGATGTTTTTGTTTTTAAATTTAATACATATCAAATTCGACAATACATAAGCTTACCTTTGATCGTTGTCACAAACCGGCACAGCATTGTGATTGCCGCCGAGCGGAGCGTAATTACACTTGTTGTAAATATGAGCACATGTAAGTACAACTGGAAAGGCTTAAATGAGTCCGCAATCCCCGCTCATTTATACCTAAGTTAGTACTATATATTTCGAGACCATTTAGTAAATTCACAGTCGACCTTTCGCAAGAATCAGTGTTTATCGATAGATTTCATCGCATTGATCCCACAAAGACTTACAATTTCTTCGCACCAACATTGGTCACCTCCGCTTCTCATAAAATCACGGGAAAATGTTGCATTCTCTGTCCAAAGACACTGCTTCTAACGGAGAAACAGCTTCACGCCATACATTTCTTTGTAGCGACTTGCAATGTTTGCCCCCTGGCGATCCCATAATCCTGTGCGCATAACTAAGTGTCCGATTACTGGAAAATCATTCATTAGCCTGTGCTAGTGTCAGTCATGTAGGGTAATTGTATTTTAGCGTATTGTAAACATAATCTGTTTAATAGTTAGCTATAGTATGTTAATTTTAGTTTGTAAACCGCTCTGAAGCAATAAATAACTGAAGTTAAAAGTTGAAGTTGAAAGTTATTGATGAACGAAAGACGAATCCACTAGCTAGAACGAGTATTTTGAACCGAAATTGATTATTCTGCAGTTGGCTTTTGTTAGCTTTTGTTCAGTGGCATGGGCTGTTTAGTTGTTGGAAAATCAGAATGGATATATCATCATTCAGTGATCCGGCGTTTTAACCTAAAAATTCACCTTTTTCCATGCCAGGGAAATTATCAAAACAGGCAAGGCCCCAGTGACCGGCAATAAAACATTTCTTGGTGCATTGATGGCACGTGCTTTGAGAATTCTGCAACAACAGAGATTTTAATCTATATCTAGAACTTTGCTTAGTGTGATTTATGAGAAAAAGGAAAAGGAAACAGAAACTTTTAAAGCGATAATTCAACTCTGTAAAGAACAGAATGACAAAACAGACACATCGTAAGGGTCGATTTATTTGTTTACATATAAAACTATAATCAAAACAAGCCAACTAATCCGCATGTTAAAGGCGGCGGCGTTTCATTGTTCTATTATTAGTAGACAAGTGGGAAACAATAGAAACAGTAGAAACAGACTGAGGTCATAATCGTAATAGTAGCTGCAGTTATACCATAGTTATTAGAGGAGACTGGTTATGAAAAGCGGCAAACATCAATGATAAAAACAACAGTGCTGCAGTTTATGTTCAAAGCACCGTGAAAGTGCACAATCCTTTGTTTTCTGTTGGCAAATTGTTATGGAATAAATTAATGCAACGTTTTTATTGGTCAATATAATCAAAATGATAGGAATTCTTTTGAACGTTGTGCACTTTCAGGTCCACAAAAACATATAACAAAGGCGTCTGACGGGTTTCATAACCATTCCACTCAATTAACTATGGTTATACAGGCTATTTTAACCCCTGGTGGGCCTTTCTTGCCCACCGGGCAAGCAACATTATATTAAGGCCCATCTTTCCCAAGAGAATTTGGCTCGGGAAAATACCATGGATACGTCATGTGAAAATGAAGGCAACAATTATCTTTTTGACGTAAAATCATGTCCGCAACCCGGCTGAAATCTGGGTATACAGGACATTGGATTATACGAGTTTAGGTCTAGTGATTTCAAAAGCACCTTAAGAAACTCGGAAAATTTTATTTTCGTCAGTGAGGCGAGATCCGAATTCTGTTTTACCATTATTTATGCACTTATACGCATAAACAGAATAAGGTCACCAACTTTGAAAACCAAGACAACAATATATACCTAGATTGATAAACGTAACACACCACCTTAAGAAGTGAAGTGGAAATACAGTTATAGTGTTTTGTAACTGTTAGCGTCTTCTACATGCATTAGCACAGTGAAAAAAGGACATTGGTGAGCCTGCACGGCTTTCAGCTCATGCATGTGACTAGCCGTTTGTTCCCGTTGTTTACTTTCTGAGCGGGTAGATTATGCTGTGGAGGTTTCTTAAGGTTGATTAAGCAAATACTATTTTTGCCGCTTCCCTCACATTGAGAGGTCATGAAGCTGGTCTGTTTCATGTTATCGCTAATAAAATTAGTGGTGCGGAGGGTTTATAAAAGGGGTAAAAAATGACTGAAAAAGAATTTTACAAGGACGCTTAGAGCAAAATTGGGTCTATGTTTTTCTTCCCCATGGGCAATTTAAAGGCATGCCACGATCACGATATCGATCAAGACTCAGAGCAAACCCGACCCGCTTTGGGTAAGAGGATTACTGTAACCACAACTTGGTCGATGGCTGTGCCCTACCGGGGACCACTGACGTCATTCAAAATGAACGTCGTCATGAATTTCACTGCAGGTAGTGCAGATAAATTATCTTATCTTAACAGAATACAAATTAATCCTTAATTCATGCTTGAGGTCCGAATAGTTAATACAATAAACATTCATTTTTGATTTGGTATTTTTTAATTTGTTCGATTTTGGGACTATTATATTAGAACTGAATAAAAAGCAACTCACTGATGAAAAGAGGTGGTTTATTGCGTTCTTTTTAACATGTGCCGAACTTAACGTGAGGGTGAAATGCATGTGAAGTGCGACGTTTGAATCAATTTTAATTTTTGTATATTTAAAAATATACAAAAAAATATTTCAAGGTAAGTGTACCCTGACTTCCTTGAGCAAGAGGCATAGCTGCAGCAAAAATTGGGAAGAGGACTGGCGGGACGTGTTGCTCTCCTGACATCTTGCTTTAACTAGATCAATACTTCTTTTCTTAAAAATAATATTTCTATTGTGTTCGAAGAAAGTCATTATTTCTGTTGCGTTGAGAGTAAAGGGAAGTAAAGCACTGATTTTCCTAAAATGGATATGACTGTTTTTGGGACTAAAGTTAAGGTCGCAGAAAAGAGGGAAACAGTCTTTGAAGAATTGACATAACTATTCACATATGATTGTAGAGGCCTAAAAATGTAACAACCTTAAAACTATTATGAACACACCTAGGCTCCTTTTTATGTTTGGGCCGTTTCTCCCCCTCACACTTTGCCCTCCAGGGAACAGAATGTTCACCCGGAAGTGTGAGTGTCGGGCTTCACTTGGCAATCATGACTCATTCCTGTCTCTCGAAGCCGCGGTCTTCTTTCGCCTTTGTTAACAGATGTAGTCATCGGTTTACTCTTGAATGTCACTCATTACATACCCTTTATTTTACCTGATGCGCCTCATAGAACTGATTATTCCCAGTCCGAGGGCGATAAAAAAAAATTACACTTTACTATTAAAAATTTCTTTCCAAAAAAAATTATCAAGAAATCAATCAACCAATTATTTATGTCAATACGTGGGATGGGGTTGTGCCGATCATCCGAGCCCAAGGCTCATGTATGAAACGTATGAAAAAGTATATAATGGATTTTCTTTACCGTTTCCTTTCCTTTAACAAACAACTTTTCTAACCATTAAGTTTGTATTGATAGCTTTTATCAAGGGTCTTTAGTTCGCCTTGACTAGTCGGCTGCCTTGATTCTTGCGCTTCCCAGAATAAAAGCAAACAATTAATGCAATGAATTCAGCATATGACATCCTGGTCCACTTTGTGGATTTACATTTCAGATTGTCAATGTTGTTGCATTAGAGAATCAGCTCGGCTCTACAACACATTTATATGACTATGAATTCCACCCACTGTGAGAGGTATGACATTTTTTATCTGCAAATGTAAGATAATCTATAAGTGTCTGCCGCGTGTTACTGCAAACCAAATTTACTAAAATCATTCCTCGCAATACGCAAGAGGAGCAAGACTGTGTTGAATGGTTAAATACTCTGTCTCTGAGAGAAACAGGTCAACACAGGAGTGTTATATACAGTTGAACCTTCTTTACTCATCTTAAGTGAAGATAAGATGGCTATACTCTCGAGTAATCGTGCTCATCTTTAAGATGGAAAAGACAGTAACCCGGGGGAGGGATACTTCCTCATATAAGCTATATAGGTTTCTACCCCATCGGGTGTGGTTTTTGCGTCGTTTTGGTCTGAAAACGGGTATACGCTTTGCCCATTTTGGTCAGGGATCGGGTATGGTTTTCGAGGGAACTACAGAGTGGATTTGAATATTTTTTTTGTTTTTCGCTCTAATCTATGTATTAATTATAACATAATTTCTGCCTAAAGGCCAGGTCTGAAAACGGGTATGGAAAATTACATTTTTTGGCCTGAAATAGGGTAGGGATTTGGAGAACCGGGCGGCATACCCCCACCAAGAATTCCCATGAGTACGCACCCCCCCCCCCCAGGGGGGGGGGGGCAGTAATCGGATTTGCCAAGAGCCCAAGGCTCGGGCTATGCAAGAGAATCCAAATCCGGAATCCCTGAAATATTTTTGTTAATGGTATCTGGAATCCTGGAAATTTTGCTTGTGGAATTCGGATCCTGGGCTGTGGAATCCGGAATGTAGCTCAAGGATATCCGGAATGTTACTAGCGATTGGAATCGGGGATCCACGACGTGGAATTCAGAATCCAGGATTGTCTTAGATTCCCTTACATGGGGCGACAAGGCGATGCTCTCACCCCAGATATCAGGCGAAACTGGAATTCATTGATGACTTTATTTATTTCGGCAGCGTTATTAGCAATGAAGATGGCTTTGAATTCAAGGAGATCTCAATAAGGTAAGGCTGTGAAAGGCCAGAGGGGTGTTAGTATAGCACAGCAAATCGACTAAAATTCAGCTGTATAACAGCTGTGTGAACTAGCTCGGTGTTTTCAGGGGCGGATCTAGGGGGAGGGTGCAGGGGATGCGCACCCCCCCCCCCCGAGATGACCTGCGGTTTTCTAATACAGCTGGTATTCTGCCAAAAAAAAAAGTAGAGTAAGAGACGAGTGCACCCCCTCCTAAAAAATATCCTGGATCCGCCTCTGGTTTTTATAT